TGGGATCTTAGTTCTAGGGATCTTGGACTAGGGATAGAATCCACACCCTTGGAGGTGGAAAGTCCAAAGTTCTGAGTACTAACCACTGGACCACCAGGGAATTCCCTCTGCTTTTATTTTTAACATTTACTTTGAGTTTATTTTCCTCTTCTCTTTTATAGTTTCATATAAAGTAAAACCTCAGGTCATTGGTTTTAAGTCTTACTTATTTTCTATTAGCCTTTAAAGCTGTATGTTTGATTCCAACACTGCTTCAGCTGCATCCCACAAACTCGGATATTGTATTTTGATTGTCAGTCAGTTAAAAATATTTTCTAATTTTTCTTGTGATTTTGTCTTTGAGTCACAAATTATTTAGAAGTATGTTTATTTCCAGATATTTGATCTTTTCCTAATTTCTTTGTTATTGATTTCCAATTTAATCTGCTGTATTCAGAAAAAACACTTTGTATGATTTCAATTCTTTTAAATGTATTGAGACTTGTCTTATGGCCCAGTGAATGACTTATCTGGTAAATGTACTATACGCACTTGAGAACAATGTATATATTCTGCAAGCACTGGATGCTCAGTGTTCCAAAAATGCCAGTTAGATCAAGGTGATTACATTGTTCATATCTTCTATGTCTTTAACTGATATTTTGTCTAGTTATTCTATCAACTGCTTATATAAAAGTATTAAAACATCCTAGTACATTGAGGAATTGTCTGTTTCTTTAATTTTTGTTATTTTGTTTCTTGTATTTTGAAGCTCTATTATTACACAAAACACATTTATAATTGATGTTGTTTTTCAGTCACTTAGTGGAGTCCGACTCTTTGACTTCATGGACTGCAGCACACCAGGCTTCTCTGTCCTTCACTATCTCCCAGAGTCTGCTCAAACTCATGTCCATTGAGTCAAAGATGCCATCTAACCATCTCATCCTCTATCATCCCCTTGTCCTCATGCCCTCAATCTTTCCCAGCAGCAGGGTCTTTTCCACTGAGTTGGCTCTTTGCATCAAAGTGTAGGAGTAAGGTCTTTTCAAATGAGTCGGCTCTTCTCATCAGGGGGCCAAAGTTTTGGAGTTTCAGCTTCAGCATCAGTCCTTCCGGTGAATATTCAGGGTTGATTTCCTTTAGGATTAACTGGTTTGATCTCCTTGCAGTCCAAGGGACTCTCAAGAGTCTTCTCCAGTACCACAGTTCGAAAACATCAATTCTTCAGCAATTAGCTTTCTCTATAGTCCAACTCTCACATCTGTATATGATTACTGGAAAAACTATAGCTTTGATGATACGGACCTTTGTCGGCAAAGGGATGTCTCTGCTCTTTAATATACCATCTAGTTTGTCATAGCTTTTCTTCCAAGGAGCAAGCGTCTTTTAATTTTATGGCTGTAGTCACTGTGCATAGTGATTTTGGAGCCCAAGAAAAGTCTGTCACTGTTTCCATTGTTTCCCCATCTATTTGCCATGAAGTGATGGGACCAGATGCCATGATCTTAGTTTTTTGAATGTTGAGTTTTAAGCCAGCTTTTTCACTCTCCTCTTTCACCTTCATCAAGAAGCTCTTTATTTCCTCTTCACTTTCTGCTATTAGGTATCATCTGCATATATAAGGTTATTGATATTTTTCCCAGCAATCTTAATTACAGCTTGGGATGCATCCAGGCTGGCATTTCGCATGATGTACTCTTCCTTTAAGTTAAAAAAGCAGTGTGACAATATACAGCCTTGATTTACTCCTTTCCCAATTTGGAACCAGTCCATTGTTCCAAGTCCACCTCTAACTACTGCTTCTTGACCTGCATACAGGTTTCTCATGGGACAGTTCAGGTGGTCTGATATTCCCATATCTTTAAGTATTTTCCACAGTTTGTTGTGATTCACACAAAGTCTATAGCATAGTCAATGAGTAAGAAGATGTTTTTCTGGAATTCCCTTGCTTTTTCTATGATTCAGCGGATGTTGGCAATTTGATCTCTGGTTCCTCTGCCTTTTCTAAAGCCAGCTTGAACACCTGGAAGTTCTTGGTTCATGTACTGTTGAAGCCTCGGCTTGAAGGATTCGGAGCATTACCTTGTTAGCATGTGAAATGAGCACAAGTATGTGGTAGTTTGAACATTCTTTGTCATACCTCGCTGATAAATTGTTCATCATTATGAAGTGGCCCTCTTTTTAACACTCTAGGTCTTAAGGTCTGTTTTACCTGATGTTTAAGAATAATCATAATAGCCACCTTGTACTTCCTATTTGCTTGTTCTTTTTCTATCCACTTACTTTCAATACATGTCTCCTGTAGTCAGCCTACAGTAGGACTTTCCCCTTTAATCTACTCTAGCAATCTCTGCCTCTGACATTTTAAGACTGTTTACGTATATAATAGTTGTATTGGTTGAATCAGGGTCAATCACTTTATTATTTGTTTTCTCTTTTCCTTATTTTGCATTTCTTTCTTCCTCCTTTCCTGCCCCCCCCCCCTTTTTTTTGGATTGTTTCTATTAAGTTGGTGATTATCCTGGGAACTACAATATGTCTCCATGCTTTCTTCTGCCTGAAGAACACCCTGCAGAACTTTCTTTAATGTTTATCTGCTGTGGTGCATGCTCTTGATTTTGTGTTTATCTGAAAATGTCTTCATTTTTGCCGTCATCACTGAAGAATCTTTTTGCTGGGTAGAGATTTCCAGGAGTGCATATTTCTTTTAGTATACTGAAAATATGATTCTACTCCTTTCTGGCTTCCATTGCTGTTGTTCAGAAATAAGCTGTTAGTCTAACTCAGGGCTTGGCAAATTACAATCTCTAGGTCAAACTGGGCCCAGCACCTGTTTTTTGTAAACAAAGTTTTACTGAAATATAGCCACAACCATTCACTTATGTATTATCTATGATTGCTTTTGAGCTACAACAGCAGAACTGAATAGTTAAACAGAGATCATATGGTACTGGCATAAACACAGAAAAACAGACCAATGAACTGGAATAGAGACCTGAAATAAATCCTCAAACATATGGTCAATCACCTTGAACAAGGATGCCAAAAACACTCAATGGGGAAAGCTCTCTGCAACAAATGGTGCTGGGAAAACTAGATGTCCATATGCAAGAGAATCAAGTGGAACCTTGTCTTACATCATCTACAAATATTAACTCAAAATGGATTAAAGACCTAAATATAAGACCTAAAACTATAAAACATCTGAAAGAAAACACAGTGGAAAAACTGTATGACACTAGGCTTGGCAATGATTTCTTGGATACGACACCAACACCACAGGCAACCAAAGCAAAAATAGACACAAGTGACAATGTCAAACTTAAAAACTTCTGTGCATCAAAGGGCACAGTCAACAGAAGGACTGTGAGCAGAGTATTAGCTAAATTAATGTGATCTTGAACAAGTTCCTTATCCTCTCCAAGCTTAAGTTTCCTGATCTTTCAAGAAGATGACAATACCACTTTCATCAAGTTTGTAGTATGGCATAAAAATGAGTATGCAGTGAATATTCACTACTGTCCTTTTCTAAATTGCCTTTAAAGTTTATGCCATTGTTTTGAACATCTTCAGTGGTAAGAAATCTTAATCTCTGATTACAGATTGGATCATATACTCAAACAAAAGCAACTGTACAAGTTAAGTTTACCAAATAAGATGAGTGGTCCAGATAGATTTTGGTCAGTAGGGAAAGAGCAAATAAGCCAAGATGGTGGTGGTCAGGCTCTCTCTCCTCACGCCCTCTCTCTCTCTTGCCCCACGTTTTGTGAATAATGATTATGTAACTGAGATCATTTACAAGGCTTCCCTTGTGGCTCAGCTGGTAAAGAATCAGCCTGCAATGCGGGAGACCTGGGTTCAATCCCTGGGTTGGGAAGGTCCCTGGAGAAGGGAAAGGCTATTCACTCCAGTATACAGTCCATCGGGTTGCAAAGAGCTGGATAGCACTGAGCATGTGTGTCATGAGGTACTTGCTTGGCCACGGGCTACTTGTGTTCTGTAAGCATACGTAAGTTCCAGCTGGAAAGCCCTTGAGGCAGGTTATGTTATGTCTGCTGCTACAGCCGCTGTACCAGCCAGGAGAGAACAAACAGCTGCAGTTCCTACAGCTCCTCGAGTTCTCTTCCAACCTCTTAGCTCACGCCTTGCCTACCCTGCATTCAGCAAACAGCGCATACAGTATGAACAGGGAGACATGGTCTAAATGGCACTCTGCAGAAAGAACCCTGAGTCTAAACAACACCTCGATCATATTACTATTAGCTTACTTTTGGGGAAAATTCTCCACAAGTTCCCAAGATTCTTCCAATTTTTATAGGTTGACATGACTGTTTGACCTGACTGCTTAATTCACTGAATTGCACACATCTGACATGCATATAATTTAATAATATTCACACTGTCTACTGAAAACTTTGATGATTTGGTTTGGATCATATCATACAAGAAACATATTTTATTAAATGTCACTATTTTCTTTAAAAAGATTCTGTCCATGCCCCTAGAAAGAGTGACACCCACTGTACTAAAATAATCACCAGCTCTGGGTTCCTACAAACCACAAGAAAAATCCCACTGATACACAGTTACACTTTATAACATGCTCAGGGTAATATCTTTAATGTCCATCTAATTTTTTCTTGCCACAATTTAAGAACATGCCCTTTTGTACTATACTCTGCTAATAAAAGAACAAGTACTTCTGTAATTACAAAGTCTTTGGCATCTGAAGCAGTTATTAAACCGTCTTTCATCCGTGCATTCTCCTAGTTAAATAATCCAAATTGTTTTGCTTTTATTCACTATGTTCTCTTTGCAAAAGCTCATATTTTTACATGCAATACTGAAATATAATGTGGACTTAACTTTACAGGGATAATTAAGAAAAGAGTTAAAATCACAGATATATTAAGCAGCAATGTGATAAGTGTAACTATGAATAATAACTGAAGACCACTCAGAAATTAATTCCACACTGTGACTCTACCACAAGCGCTCCAGAGCACATCAGTCCTTACCAGGGGACTTTCCTTGCTGTGAGTTGCTTCTTCGCTCTCTGTATCTGGCTGGAGTGGATAAACCCATGTCTTTATTAGGCTTGCTAGCAGGCCCCATTTCGGAAATAAGGAATCCCATTTGTTCTGAAGGCAAGATATTCTCAGGTGGATTGGTCTGGCATTTTATACTGGCATCCACCTAAAATATTAAACCCACTCATTATTTCAAATTACCCCCAAACAGCTACTAAAAATTAAGATATTTTATCAGAGGAGTTCTATTATAGAAAAATGATCCAACAAACATGATTGTTAAAGCTTTTTAATCCTTATGAATGACACTACCCAATTTTGTTAAGCTAACCTGAATCTTTGGTAGTAAGATGTATATTTCCCCATACAGAAACCACTGAAATGTCTATGCAGCTAAAATATTTACCTATGACCAGAGGAAGATTCACCACGAAGCTTCATTTTTTAAATAAAAATTCACACACACAATTTATAACTGGTTAACACCACTATCTTTTCCCATTCTAACATCTCTTCCATCAGATTTCCCCTCTTGGTGATACTGGAATGGCCATAGGTATGATCCTGTTGGATGATGTCAGAGGGGCTGTAAATACCTTATTCTACTAATTTTGTTTTCTTTGTCTTAATAAGGCTCTCAAAATTGTATAAGCTTCAGCCCCTATAAAATCTAGATCTGCCTTGCTTATGATACATAGATTTCTTTCTTGGAGTTCCTATGTTTTCTTCAGAATACCTAATCCCTTTGTCAAGTTGACCAATTTCTGAAATATTCTATATAATAATGAATTTATTTTAAAATAAAACTATATAATAAAGTAGGGCTAGAAGTTCAAAACAGAGCTTTCAAAAGCTGTGATATCCAAATTTTTTTAAAGAAACTATGTGAATGCAATTTTAAGGTATGAAATCTAATATTTTGGATGTGACTATGAAGGAATAAAGACACATTTCATGATCTTTTCACAGGCGTATTTGAAACACAAAAGGCCTATCTCTGGTCTGAATTTATAATATTATTTTAATACATAGTACACTGGGTCTCAATGTTGGGGCTCAAAAAGGACAATGAGTTGATAGAAACCTTAAGACATTTGGCTCTTAAGTTAGCCAGAAAAGAATGCCTTAAGAAAAAACGGCCCAGGGGGCTTCACTCACTGTCCAGAGGTTATCTCACTCCTGAGTGCCCAGGTTCAATCCCTGCTTAGGGAACTAAAATCCCATAAGCCAGGTGATATGGCCAAAATACACACGCACCTGCCAAAAAATTATCTTATGAAGCTCTAAAAATGAAGACATTTTCAACTCCATTAAAGAAAAAAATCCAAAATGAAATACATATATATCAGGCTAGGATTGAGAAAAAAATACTTAATCACAAAAGTGATTTTAATTTGGATATACTTTTATATTTTAGAATGCGAGTTTATTCATTTTCTGGTCATAAGCTAGCAGTGATAAAGGATTAGTCTCTACTTTCGGAATATATATCTCAAACCAGAGTCAGAATTCTACTTTAGGAATGAGAATATTAGCAAGGAAATTCACACACAGTATGCTCTCAAGTCAAATTAGAATCCAATAATGCTGTAAGAAAATATGAAAATACTTCCAACCATCTCCTTACCTCCATGCTACAAATGGCCAGGAAAGTCCTGATGTTATCTATGAGATAAACCATTCATCTGAGAAGTGGAATTTAATCAGGCAGGCACACCTAGTCCATTCAAATTAAGTTTGGAAGTGAAACTCAGAGGATGTTTTTAACATGGAAATATTGGTAAGTCTTATATCACAGTGCTCATTCAAACCATAACATAATGAGAGCATGCCAGAAAGGTTACTTCTTTCTGAAATGCTTTGTGCAGAACCACTGGGACATGATCCTTCCGGAAAGCATAATGAACTCGTATTAAACCCAAATAAAACCGGGACAAAGTCCCCACTACAACAGTCCTTAGCAAGAAGCACCAGGTACCTCTGAACATTATTAGGAATTTTTCTTTGCCTCTTACCTGCTGTGTGCTGAATGGCAGCCCTTCCTGCACAAACACTACTGAAGGTGGCGATGGGTTATGACTCAGCTGCTCCTTCAGTTTGACGTGAGCTTGCTGGTTGATTGCAGACTCTTGCATTGTAGTATTTTCAACAGGCTGAGCTGGGTGGATGGTATAGATGTACTCAGGTGACTGTGGTAGAGAGCAGGTAATTGCCTGTTCTGTTCCGACCACAAAAGACGTAATATCTGAGCCTACAGGAGTAAGTGGCTCCAGCTGGCTAGCCTGACTTGTGGAAGATGGATTGCTGTTGTTTGAATTAGCTAGGATATGTTGGCCTCTATTAGACTGGGATGTTGAGCACTGATTCTCAACAGGCTCCACCTTGACCATCTCCAATTTAGGGGAGGAATGCAACTCATCTACTATCTGAAAAACAGCCTCTAGGTTTACTTCTGTCTTTTTATTTTCATCAGTAGCACTGCAAGGCCAATTAGAAGGCAGAAATTCAACTGGATAGGAAGACTGCATTGGAGGATTCTGGGAAAAGAGAAAATAGGATTCTTTGGATAGAAAATCAAATATGAGATTAAGGAGGAAAGCAAAAACACTTATGCTGTTGAATGCTAAACATAAACAAATTAAACTTGAAGTTCACTAAGAAAACTTGAATGCCAGTCAAGTTTTCGGCAGTGGTACCTTTAACTCTATTCTTAGCATTAGCACACCAATTATTGTATGTCAACCACTATGCTAAGTTTTATTATTGGAATGGACCAATAATTCTCAAGGTTAAAGTACACAAAATAAAAAACAAGCTATAGTATCCAAATATCTATTTGCTGATAAGATGTCTATGTATCAAATTCTTTCAGAAAGGTTGACAGACAAAAATATACACTGTTTTAGGAATGTAGTAAGGAAATAAACACAGGCTGCTCACAAGTCCACCAATGCTTCAATAGATTCAGGGGGAGATACTGATATTCTGTTCCAAATAATCTGGGGAAAAAATGGATGGAATATCGAATGTTCTTTGTTGAGATTATTTTAATACTAAAACAATAGATTAAAATAGCTGTCACTTTTAGACTGATATCTTCAAGATGTATTCTCTTATGCATAGTACTATGCACAATTACATCTGATGATAAACAACGTCAAGCTATGAACACAGAATACTGAAGAGTAATGATTAAATAAAATATGTATTGAGTTGTTGCCAAATGCAGAGTTTTGCACAGAACAGGTATTCAATAATTGTTTGTTGACTGTATCAGGTTATAACATAAGATACAGAAGAGTTATGAAATAAAATAGGTAGTGAGTCAATGTCGCCAAACACACTACAAAGACTGCATGAATAATTTGAAGGCCACTAATGCCAAATAATGCAAATCTAAATGGCTTAAACATCAAGCTACTGTACTAGAGCTGTACACCATTTATTGAGTTGTTACTACATGCCAGGCATACACAAAGTGCTTTCTGTACATTATTTCATTTAATCCTCATAAGAGGTCAATGAAATGTGATAATCTCCATTTCCAAATAGTGGAACTAAAGTTCAGAGAAACTTTATAATTTATTCAAAGTCACAATGAAATAACTAACAGAGCCAGGTTTCAAGCCTAGGTTTGCCTGACTCCAGAATTCTTGCTCTTAACCATTACAATATACGAACCATTCATGCACAGTCACCACATCTACAATCCAACAAAACTTAACTGCAATTATTTCCAGAATGGCATCTGAAATACTTCCCTTTTTTCCATTTAAAAATCTTATGTCAGACTTCCCTGGTGATGCAGTAGGTAAGACTCCACCTGCCCGTTCAGGGGACACGGGTTCTATCCCTGGTCCAGGGAGATTTCCCATGTTGCAGGGCAACTGAAGCCCGCATGCACGACTGCTGAGCCCAAGCGCGGCAGCTCCCGAAGGCCACGAGCACAGCGCCTGTGCTCCGCGACGGGAGAAAGCAGAGCAACGGGAAGCCCGTGAACCGTAAGGAAGAGTAGCCCCCACTCGTCACAGTAGAGGAAGTCAGCGCAAAGCAGTGAGGGTCCAGCACACCCCAAAATAAATAAATACATAATTTAAAAAAACTTTTTAAAATATAAGTTTTATGCCTACTTATCTCTGTTTTCCTATAATCAACATGTATTGCCTTTGCAGTAAGAAAAAGTCTTTAAAGATGTTTTAAATGACTTATTTAAAACATAAATATAATCAAGAAACACCAACAGAGTATCTCTAGTATGACCCAGGGGAGAGAATGCCTGAGTCTACAGATAAGAACATCTAATTTGTGAGACAGACATGTCCTTCCAGTGAAAATGAAACAGTTCTACTAACATGCTTAATGATATCTGCATTAAATATGTCCATCTAAGTCCTCTTGACCGGATTCTGTATTCTCCAAACAACAATCTGATTATAATTTGACTTCCAATGTATATTTTCTAAACTAAAAAAAAGAAAAAGGGAATGCTCTTTTGAGTACTGGAATGCCACTAGTAAGGTATTTTTTAAGAATGGAAGCTATTGTGATTACATGATATCAAAGGAAAATAATTCCAATCTTTAAGCAACTGCAACATAAAAATACAAACAGGATTTAATTTTATTCTAAAACTGGTAGTTTACAACATTTAAATCAAAGAAATTTCTTCCTAATAAATAATGAGAAAATGATTGAAGTGTGGTGTTTACAACACGGGGGCTTTCTCATTTTTTACATCATTTTCCCTTTCTCCTTAAAAAAAAAAGTAATTATCTGTGCTATCTTGGAAGGATCTGTCATTTGGTGATTTATATACTTTTAGAGCTTACCTGGAAAAATGAATTATTTTACCACTGTATTCAGTTTTACCACCGCTGACAGTTAGTTGAACAACACTGTTTCAACTAACTGTCAGCAATAATGAAAATGTTCTCTGCGCTATATAATTTGGTAGCCCCTAGGAATACGAAACTATTAAGCATCTGAAATGTGGTTAGTGACTAAGGAATAATTTTTAAATTTTAGTTAATTCTAATTAATTTCAATTTAAATAGCCTACATGTGGCTAGTGCCTAATAGTAGGCCCAGAAGTGTAGGCCTGGAAGAATCCTCAGACATCATTTACATCAACTCTTTTTTTTTTTTTTTTTAGAATTGAGAAAAACTGAGGCCATAATCCACAGCTTACCTCTGGCTACTCATGAAGATAAACTTACACGCTGAAACTGCGTGGTCAGCTGGCCAACCGTACTGTTCCTGATGCAGAGAATGTCCCCGGCTCCCAGCCTCTTACCTGAAAGTAGTTGCAGTGTGCGTAGGAGGAGGCAGTGGGGCTGACACAGCTACTGAGCGCGTCCATGTGCGTGGAAGGCGAGCAGCACTGCAGCACGGCTGCAACAAAGCCACACAGAGAAGCCGTCAACACACAGAAATCTGCAGCCTTCGAGGCGCTCCTCTCTTTCAACCTGGAGCAAAAACTTGCAAAAGTTTTCCTTTGTGGGTGCAATATAATATATTTAGTCCAATGAGGTGCCATTATTTGTTGAAAACAAACAGTAATAAAGCAATATTAAAAGTCACTTAAAAGGGTCATTTCTGCTTTTATAAATGAATCCTTTAGCACCTAAGTATTTTGCTACGTTTCTAACCAGACGTTTATTCTTACTGAAAGTAGTAATTTCCTTTTATTGAAAATATCAGAACATATTCAGAATTCTAAAATAATTATTCCAATCATTTTAATAGTAACAAACATTTGGAGGAAGGTGTGTTTTTAAGTATAAAATAAGTATAAAACCTCTCCAAACACTCCTACTGTATATACAATGCATCCAGTGAAATCTATGGAAAAAAGTGTTTTAATCATTTAGCCAAGTGGTTAGGAACTCAGACCTAGAGCTAGACAGTCTGCCTTTGGAGCCTAGTTATATAAACCTGAGGCTTTCCTGTTGGCTCAGTGGTAAAGAACCTGCCTGCCAATGCAGGTTCCATCCCTGGGTCAAGAAGACACCCTGGAGAAACAAACGGCAACAGTATTCCAGTATTCTTGCCTGGGAAATCCCAAGAACAGCAGAGCCTGGCAGGCTACAGTCAGTCCATGGGGTTGAAAAAGAGTCAGACACGACTTGGTGACTAAACAACAAGAACATAAACTGGAATAAGGTCAATCCCTTTGGGCTCCACTTCTGTATCCTACTATTAATAGAATAGGAATAGTAACAGTACCTACTAAGAACAACACTGACATACAGTAAGCAATCAGTATACAAATAGCTAATCATTTTAGTTAAGGAAATACATTTTTTCCAAACTTCCTCTTTATAGTTAGGATACCATGAAAAGACTGAGAATTCTTTGTATTGGTATAGTCATACTTACAGTGAAGTTAAAGTCGTTCAGTCGTGTCTGACTCTTTGTGACCTCATGGAATAGTCCCTGGAATTCTCCAGGCCAGAATACTGGAGTGGGTAGCCATTCCCTTCTCCAGGAGATCTTCACTGATCTTCCCAACTCAGGGATCAAACCCAAGTCTCCCACACTCCAGGAGGATTCTTTACCAGCTGAGCCGCCAGGGAAGCCCAAGAATACTGGAGTGGGTAGCCTATCCCTTCTCCAGCGGATCTTCCCGCCTCAGGAATCAAACTGGGGTCTCCTGCATCGCAGGCCAATTCTTTACCAGCTGAGCTACCAGGGAAGTCCCCATACTTACAGATGCAGCCTTAATAATTGGTTGAGACTCCTCTTTTCCAGAGAGAGAATCTCCAGAACGAATGAGAATCAGTTCTAACATCACAACTTTGGATTAAAGACAGTATGACATTTACTGACCACCTAACATATTCCAGGCACAGACCAAGGCCCTTTACATGTACTGCCTCATTTAATCCAAACAACTGAATGAGATATTAACATTACTTTACAAAAATAAGGAAATTAAAGCTCAGGGATGTTAAAAAATGTGCTGAAAGTTCACAAAGCTGATAGTGACAGAGGCAATCAACAAACTGCAAAATACGTGCTCTTCAATGTATCATATTTCCCTAATCTTTCTTCCTAAAACCTAATACTTTAATTTTACTAGAACTCCACTTGTGGAATATTTTTAAGGTGTCTTTATTTACAGGTGGCAACATTTTTGGTCCACATTTCTCATATTCTGAATACGCTAGTAAAATTACGAAATAATCTTATTCTGTAATCTTTGAAGTAAATTAGCCTAACAATTGCAAAAATTCATCAAAATGCTTCCCTTTTTATCCATTACTGACCATGGATTTTTAAAATGTCACAAGTTCATAAAGGTATAAGAGAAATATTTTATTATATCATGTGCATTTTAAGGCATTAAATTTTACACAGGGAAATAAAAAATTAAAATAATGGATAGAATTCTAGTTCAAATAAAAATATAAGGGTTGATGTTTTCTGAATTACATAATTTTAACAATTCCAGTGGTTAAAAAAGCCAGATATTACTAGGATGGCCACATAAAATTCAAGCAGCTGTCACTTCCCATATCCTTGGAGATTATTCAAATACACAATTAAAAATTTTTGGATTGGAATTTGGTTTCCCAGAATATTTAAAAGCATAAATACCTTGGGAAATAAGTTAAATCCAAAAAGCTAAGGAGGGGTCTGCAGGGTTTGCTGAAACTGAAAAAAACTGGGATCTTTTTCCAGTTTTAACAGCTAAGGAAAACTGTCCCCTAGTGGCAGAAAGGACTCAGTCAGGAGCTGTAGATTTTCACCTATCGCCGTGTGTGTGCCCAGTCATGTCGGGCTCTTTGTGAACCCACGGACTGCAGCTCTTTAGGCTCCTCTGTCCATGGAATTTTCCAGGCAAGAATGCTGGAGTGAGTTGCCATTTCCTCCTCCAAGGGATGTTTCACCCATCAGGGCACCATAAAAGTGTTTTGTTACAAATAAATCAATGAAAGGTATTAGCTTTATTTTTCCGATAGTGCTATAATCAATCTGACGCCACTGTTTACCCATTATGAATAGGTGTTAAAGTGTACCTTAAAGTAAGTTTCTTGAAAAAATAAAATAGAATATACAACAATAAAATATAACATACAAGTGAATATATTAATATATAGTTGATAGCTGATTTGGTATCTAAGGAAACAGCAAAATAGTGACTGTCCTTTAAAGTGTCCAGTTACAAATGGAAAATAGAAAGGTACCTGCATGAAGAAAGGGAGGTGAATAGGTAATCCGAAAAGACTCTCAATGGCTATTTCCTTACCAGTTCAGTCCTACTTCATACACTCAACAAACCAGAACAAAGCAAAGTATTAATAGGTTCACTAGATATGAAAATCTAGTTATAAAAATACAACTGTGTGCTTCATACATGACAAATTAATCTAATGGGCATTAGGAAAGCACTGTGAAAGTACTAACACTTCTAAAACTGAGTTTATCACTATGAAGACACATTCATCTCCATAAAGATCCTTCAGTATCTTTCTGAAGGCAGTGTTCATTTAAGGCACTGAATCGCATGTAGAATAAAAAGGTGGAAATAGTGAACAATTTCTATTTCAAATATAAGAGTTGATGACATTTTTTATGGTAAAAATAGATAACTAAAAATTTATCTAAAGGTAGAAATTTTCACATCCGTTATAGGTTAGGAAAACAAGTTCATACACTTTATCCAATGTAGGTAATTCAAATTTATAATTAAAATGTTTTGGACTTGAAGCTATTCTGGAATAGTACAGTATCAACAGCGAAGAAACACTCAAAAGGAAAAATATCCTAATAGTAAAGTTAATTTCAAGGTAAGTTACTACAGCAACTAGAACCTAAACATCTCCTCATCTACAGTGAGGTGAAGAAATGGTATTCGAGTCTATAACCATAAGAAGTCAAAGCAGAACATATTATTGTAGAACCAAGTTCAGAGCACCAATGGCCAAAAGGTGGAAGCAACCCAGTGCCTATCAACAGGTGAACTGATAAAATGTGGTCTGTAAATACAGAAATTTCAGAAAATTATTCAGCATTTAAAGGAAGGAGATTTTGATTCATGCCACAATATCAATGACTTGGAACAAGTGAAAGATGCCAATCACAAAAGGACAAATATATGATTGCCCTCATATGATGTTCCTAGAGTTATCGATTCTTCAAGACAGAAAGCAGGACAGCAGTCGCCACAAGATGGCGAGAGGGGAATGTGAAGTTAAGTGTTTACTGGGTACAGAGTTTCAGCTGGGGAAAGACAAAAACGTTCTAGAAAAGGATGGTGGTGATGCTAGTACAACAATGTGAATGTATTTAATGCCACAGAGCTGTACACTTAAAAATGGATAAAATGGTCAATCTTACATATTTTACCTCAATGAAAATAAAATATAATTGTGCTTTTGCTTAAAAATCCTTCGAGTGTATCTACGCCAAGTCCCTCTCTCCATAAGAACAAAATGAGACCTCGCCAGAGAAACTGAAAATACAGGCTCCCAGAGCATCAGAAAGTTCTTATAACTTCATATTCTATACTTGTTTATGTACATTATATAGAATGAAAAGCCTAAAGATCAAATGTTTAAAATTTAATGTACTTCAAAACAGTAATAAATCAACCTTCTTTGCCCGAGTCAATTCAGAAAATTTTTTAAATAATAAAACACACGCACCTTCATGAGAAGGGTATATTCTTATAAATCACTTCAGTCAGCCTTTAAAGTGTTAGTAGCTAGGCTCATTTGAAATATAGCTTTTCAAATTTTTCACTGTTTATAATAGCCAGGACATGGAAGCAACCTAGATGCCCATCAGCAGACGAATGGATGAGGAAGCTGTGGGACATATACACCATGGAATATTATTCAGCCATTAAAAAGAATTCATTTGAATCAGTTCTAATGAGATGGATGAAACTGGAGCCCATTATACAGAGTGAAGTAAGCCAGAAAGATAAAGACCATTACAGTATACTAACACATATATATGGAATTTAGAAAGATGGTAATGATAACCCTATATGCAAAACAGAAAAAGAGACACAGATGTACAGAACAGACTTTTGGACTCTGTGGGAGAAGGCGAGGGTGGGATGTTTCAAGAGAACAGCATCGAAACATGTATATCATCTAGGGTGAAACAGATCACCAGCCCAGGCTGGATGCATGAGACAAGTGCTCGGGCCTGGTGCACTGGGAAGACCCAGAGGGATCGGGTGGAGAGGGAGGTGGGAGGGGGGATGGGGAATACATGTAAATCCATGGCTGATTCATGTCAATGTATGACAAAAACTACTACAATATAAAATAAATAAATAAAACTAAAAAAAAAAATAAAAAAATAAAATATGTTATCCTTTATATGTAAATATAAAGTTTTTAAGTGTCTTAAATATATTCAAATTCTATACATTAATTCACTTAATCCCAGACCCAAACTATTACTGCCACTTTTTGGAAAGGGAAATTGAAACTGAGTGACATGAAATAATCCACAGAATGTCACAATGTCCATCAGATGACTAACTGCAAAGCTGAGGCTAGAATTACTTCGTTTACTCCATGAATATTTACTGAGAGCCCATGGCGGCCCAGCACTGCGCCAGGCGCGGGGGATGCGGGAATGAGTCAGACACAGCTGCAGACGAAGGCCCACTCCAGCAGCTGGATGGAGTCTGCCTCTGCTCCAGCAGAGGGAGTCAACAGCCCAGCGTCAGTGCCCCGCCGTCGGCAGCACAGATGGCGAGGTCCCCCGACCAGCGTCTGTCACCTACCCTCTCTGGAAGGACTGACTCCGGGGAAGAGGTCTATCAGAGAAGAGTCTCTCAAAAGAAAAAACAAAACAAATGTCCTCTCTGTATTACAAGCAGGCGGGCGGCAGCAAGCAGAACATGATGGCCGAACGAATGCGCTCGAGAGAATCTGCCTAGACGTGGTTCCTGGCGCTGCCTGTGCTGAGCTGTGCTTCTGAGTCTAACCTCTAAAATGAGGATGACTACATCCCCGAGCTCACCAAGCTGTTCTGAGGATTAAATGAATTAATACTTGGAAAGCACTCAGCATAGTACCTGGTCACAGTGACTGCTACACAAATATGTTACATAAAATACGAGATAAAGGGCAGCTACAAATCACCAATCACTGCTTTGAGCTTAAAACTTAACTTGGGGAAAAAAGTCAAAGTTAGCTTTGAATCAGTTCAGCATTACAACATGAGTCAAAGGAAAACAATTCCTCAATACAGGATTCTATATATAAATATGAATATACTAATATTCTTATGTATGTTCAAATACACACAGAACGAGCAAAACAAAAAGGTCTAAAATAAAGTTTCTTATAAAAAAGGGAAATTAAATTATAGTAGCACCCTGAAAACAGCATTAGAGAAGAAAGCTGAATTCAAGACCGGGCAAGACTAGAGAGAGTCCACTAATGGTGGATCTATAACATTTTGTCTTTGAAGAAGGGGTTAAGAGTGGAAAAAATGTAAATGAGCTAGGCAAAGAAAACAGATGCTTCAAGAGAGGAAAGACAAATGTAAGAAATCAGTCAGGTGAGTCCATTTATGAGTCAGTCTGAGAGCAGTTTTTTAGTCTCAAATCTTGGCTTTACTAGAGAAATAATTTACGAAATATTACAAAATACAAATTTTACTGGTTATACCACATGAAGACCACATCCAAGTTTATTTTCAATATAACTGATTTTTAAATGAAGTCGAGTATTGTTTTTTTTACTAAAATTTGATCCAAATCTCAAGTCACATAGTTTACTTTGAAAGGATAAAAGTATGACCATTATTCCAAACTTAGCTACTTTATTAGGATTTGGAGAGCTGGATTGAGAGTGATTATTATCCTGCCTCTGAGAGTAGTATTCTACTTAACTTTGGTAAAGTCATTTGTAGAGCCCTTCACAAACAGGTATTCACTAAATATTGGTTAAACTGCTCACTACGTTTTGCCTCCTTCACCTGAGATTTGGAGGAATTAAGCACTTGTACAGTTATTTCTTTGGCATTTTCTTTTCCTTCCATAGCAGGTCTTTTGTATTTCACAATACAACTTTTTATTTCTATAGTACTTCAGAATGTTCAAAGCAATTTTGCCTACATTATATCATAGAACTACTCTATATATTAGAATTCATCATGAAATCACGAGATTTTTCTTTTTCTCATAACCTCAGAACCTTCACAGTAATTTCAATCATCCATATCAAAGAAGACAAAACAAAAATTCAGATAACGCAAGATTCTATTTCATATGCACTCTATAGTATCAAAACATCAGCAGCACTTGTTCTTTTAATGTGTCTCTTTCCTAGTCCTTATCTTGGACTCCTAGAGACAATTTTCAATGTAATTATTAAATCAATAAATTTATTTATAATTTAAATCCAAACTAACGCAAAACATTTTTAAATGACATAGATCCTAAATTGTAATAATTTAACAAATAGTACTTCTATAACAAATGAATAATATTAACTATTTGTAGTATTTTCTAGTAACGTACAACTAGTTCTCATAAAATTTAGAACTAGGAGTTTCTAAGAGGATTGTTCAGAACTTGGAGTACATTTTCCCGTAGAAACATCATCATACAGGCTAGTCTGGCTCCTAAGCCAGACTATAACCATCCGTACCTTAACTGCAGCAGTAATAGTAACACGGAAACTAACCACCATATCTAATATCTACATAGGAAAATTTCTCCAAAATTCCAAGTTAGAAGGCCAAGCACATTTCTCTCTCTGTGGTAGTCCTTCTGAATTTCAACTCCCCAGAAGTTTTTGAGTCTTTAGTAGTGTAGAGGAGGGGCATTTAAGGGAGGTTAGGAAAAGAAAGAGAAACATTCATTGCTAAAAGGAAGAGAGACGGGGTGTTGTCCAGTAGATGGGTTACATCACGTAAAGCAAGTATAAGAAAGACAGACTGTCTCTCTCTTATGTGTGTGTGTATATATATATATATATATTCTATGCATATTTAGGGAATGCAGCCAAATTATAATTTAGATAGAAATGCCTAATTTATTAAAATATTGATTAAAAATCCCTCAGGAAAGATCTGACACTATTTGTTGCTATACATAAGATATATAACATAAAATGTCATCTTCTAGCTTTCAAGATCACCCAGATATTTTTATTCTTCAAAGAATTAGCTGAAAGTCTGGGGAAAAAAAGAATTAGGCCTCCACTTTCTTTATATATAAGGTTAAAAAAAAGATTTTTTAATTTCTAATAGGCAAATGATTAGAAGTGCTATATCATCTTACTCCATATAATTTCTTCCTTTATTCTTCTCCATCCACCGAAACAGTAGCAGCTCCAAAAATCTATAAAACTCAATTTAATTTAACCTCTGGTTTTATTATTTTGATATTATTGAACTTAAGTGCTTTGAGAAAATAAAGCAATCCCTTTTACTGTCTGTAAAATTTAGGTAGAACGCAATGAGCCAATAATAAATAAATATGGTTGGATATTACCAGCATTACTATAAATGGAACAGTTTTCAAATTTATAGCTTTTAAAGGACAACCAATCATTTAACTCCCTTACCTAATTTACATGCCTCCCACTTATTTTAGTTTTTGATTTCGGCCTGCCTGGGAAGAGTGGTCTAACAAAAATACCGCTGACGACTGCTTCCAGCTGTACCTAATTAATATGCCTACACTCTTAGTTCAAAGGGCAAAGGACTGCCCCCTTTTTCCTCTTCTGGGTCTTTTCTGAAAGCCTTGACCCTTGACTTTTTTCTATTGCCCCTTTTCATCATTCTTTGTAAACACTAATGAAAACACACATCACCTCTATGGTGCTTCTGCAAAACAATAAATTGTTTTTAACTAAATGGTAACATTATCATTCTGCAAAGATGTATCCCTGCAAAGACATCCCCTGGCCCCAAGAAGCAAAATGCATGGTCACTATCACACGGATTCCCACCGAGTGGCCTGAGCCCTACTGGCAGGTCCTCCACGCCCTCGGCTGGGCTCTAGGTCAGTTGCCAGGCTCTTCTCTCAGCTACTCCCAGCTGTTCGCTGGCTGAGATTAACTCTGCAAGGACTGCATTGCAAACCACACCATTGCATTTTTATTAAAAGAATGTAATTTAGTCTTAAGAGATGGTGAGTAGGCTCTTTTTTAAACTTCATTACTGAGATACTAAGATGATTTCATTATGAGGCAGTCTCACCTATATAACTAAAAAATAATATGTAATATAAGTATTTTTTTCTAAAAGAAAAAACCCACAAAAAACTACTACACCAAGAACAGTGTTATACCAAGATCTGGTGTACTAAGTCTTACCAGAACATATTTTGAGGATACCAAAGTTTCACTAAAAACATACACTTCTGTGTGCCAACAATTTTTACAGCCTTTAAGAACACAATGAAATTTCACATATTGCTAAAAAAATGAGTACTCATGAGAAATCTTTGACATTTCTTAGATGCATATTCCTATTTTTGTTTATGCATACAAAAATGCATTTAAAAATATAAGTTCTCATTATCAAGTACCTTAAAAGAAGCCACTGAACTTGAATTTCTCATACCTGTTGGATAGTAGGCTTGGGAGTACTGCGCTGAGGGCGTGTAGGTACTGTACTTTTGGGAGGAGCTGACCATTGTTTGAGGACCTTGCTGAACGTGTACGGATGTGGCACTGGGCTGCAGGGTATACGTGACCTCAGTTGGAAACCTCTGTAGTACAGGAAATGGAACCCCTTTATCTGAAAAAGTGGGAGACGTTTCCACTTGTCCTGGGTGCATTCCAAGAGAGTTCGGCCACGTTCTAGGAGGGAGCGGGGTCCGATCTAAACCTTTCAGAGGAAAAGTACTGTGGTTGTGGGATGAAGTTGATACGTAGGAGTAAGGAGACAGACTATCTCGCCGGAACGACCGGTGAAATTGTCCTACAGCCACTGGTCCTGTATAAAAGAGGAAGAGCACATTTACTAATTTTATATTACACCACCAGACGTAGTAAACCAAAAGTCACAAAATACACACTACTCTTCACTTGTGAATATGCTGAGTTCCCAGCCATTCTCAACACAACAGAAATTTATTGGTAAAAACAAGTTCAGAATACAGAATATGAAATTACAAATATTAACGCTAAAAAAATAATCAAACAAATTTTGTTTGGTTGTCAATATGATTGTGATAAGAGACAAAGTGGCCAAACTCTAACATTAAATCAAAGGTTAAATGTCATCTTACCTTTCACCTCAACTGACTAACCCAGATTTTCCCAACCAGTAAACTATCGGTATTTCCTAGAAGCTTTAGAAATTCCATTTGGTCTTTCAAATCATTTAGTAATCTTAATAACAGGTACAAAAATAAGCACTCAACCATATTCATGAAAGATATAAGTATGGAAAAAATAAAAATTATACCACAAAAAGAAATTTCATGTTCTTCGCTCCCTTTCAATTTTAAAAAAAATTTTAGTAACAATCTTTGCAGAAAAGTCAAGCTTGGAAACTCTGACTTGTTCATTCCTGAATCAAAAATTTTCCACGGTCTCTTCTTCTTCAGAGTATCTCTAGTCCCTTCCTAGATATCAATGGCTCTCAAACATTGATTTACATTTGAATCACCTGGAGAGTATTAAAAATCCACACACTCAAAAAAAAAAAAAAATCCACACACTCAGGACAAGAGATTCCTAGATTTGCTTTTCCTTACCTAACAAGGTAGAAAGGAGTTAATCAGTGGAGATGAGGAAGAGAGAGAAAGAGCAATACTACATAATGAAGAAAAGGAAAATATAAAAGTTGCAAGCTGAACTTATTTTAAAGACTGTGGTTCTTGAAGATAAAGCTAGCCTAATTTATTCCTAGGAAGGATTTTACCTATTAAATTACATGGTTCACAAAGCCTTTTCAATTTGTTTTTGTTGTATTAAACTATATCTATATAAATAAAATATATACAAAAACTATGTAATCTATAAAACAGAGGGAAAGTCTAATTTACGTGCTACTCATCTACTAAAGATGGCACTCACATACCTACTTTTCCAAATATTTAAACCTGTTATACATCTTTTGTTCTAGAGTTCCTATACTGTTTGAGTTCTTCTAAAGAATGAAGCATTCGTAAGTGCTCATAACCACTTCTGGTTTTGGCACTGCCTGATTCAAATTGACTTTGCTCAAATAAACTCTTAGAATTTAAAAAGAATAAAGCACTAATGCCAAAAATAAACAAACACAGGAGTTTGAGGCAGATGTGTACACACTGCTGTATTTAAAATGGACCTATCGTGTCGCACAGGGAACACTGCTCCATGTCACGTGGCAGTCTGGATGGAAAGGGAGTTTAGAGGCAAATGGATGCATGTATATGGATCACTGAGTCTCTCTGCTGCTCACCTGAAAGCGTCCCAACACTGGTAATTGGCTATACTCCAACATAAAGTAAAAAGTTTAAAATAAGAAACAAAAAACAATTCTGGAAATCAAGAGCTAATGGAGAAAATAATCTAATGGACAAAAAAATCTCATTCAGAAGATTAAATGTATTTAAATGATACACCTCTTAAAAACTACTTTTCTTTAAAATACAAAATAGTTTTTATGCTGACTAGCAAACACATGTATACACACTTTGAACTACCACTGACAATTCTTTGCTTTAAGACCTGAAGAAACATTTTTTGTTTGTGAGATCCCAAACTGCCCATCACTTGTTATTTTTTTTTCTTGGATGCTAAAACTTTATATTGCTAGAGTGTGGAATAGCTCACTAACCCTTCTTTACCCTCTTTAAGGTTAAATGTTGATGAATTTTCAGACTGTCAATAACAACAGATAATTAAAGAATACTCTACCCTGATTTCTCAAATTCTAATTGAGATCTGAATTAAAATACAATTCTACTTCTACTATGATAAATTCTGAGTGATGCACAAATATTTAAATATTTTAGATGCTGCTAATGTAAGGACACAGGACACAAATTAGAAGGACTTTTTTTTTTTTTAATTAAGAACTAAAACATGTTCAGCTCTTATTCTTCTGTTAGAGGTTACTTCGTAGGGTACTAGTCTACCAACTTTATAGAACATCACCTACATGTCTTCAGGACATCTAAGATATATATTTAGCAAAGCTTAAATCCAGGATCCTAAAAATGTAAGGCAGACTGAATTTCTGTTGTTCTTTCTATTCCATCTGTAAAAGTGAATCTAAGCTAATCAGTCCCTAGGAGAGAAATTGCCTCTTTCCCAAAACTTGGTTCTTGAGAGTTAAGTTTAGAAAGCTTTAACAAATATTATGAAATAAACTGCCAATAAAAGCAAGATAACAATAGTGGGCAAACAAAAAAGGAAAAACATGTGACCCTCACATTTCTTATCAAGTACAGAGGATAAGAGGGTTGGATGGCATCACCGACTCAATGAACATGAGTTTGAGCAAACTCTGGGAGATAGTGAAGCCCAGGGAAGTCTGGCATGTTGCAGTTCATAGGGTCGCAGAGAGTCAGACACGCCTTACCGACTGAACAACATTCTCAGAAAGTGAACAGGACAACTAGCTCAGTAGATCTAGGTAAAAGAACCAGGTCCTAACACAGAGGATTCTACTGCAAAAGAGAAGTATTTAAATCAGAAGCTGCAGTAGAACACAGAACACAAAAGGGAAATGAGGAAGGAGCAGTATAGTCAGGCATATAATCAATGCAAGAATTAAGCAGAATAAAAATTAGTGAGCCTAAAGAGAAGAACCAAGGACTGAGAACATGGAAATAAAGCAAGACAAAGTTGGACCTATATTCTTAAACTTAGAATTACATTCCACCCAAATCAGTAACACAACTTCCTAGTGAACCAAGTCTATGCTGTGGACAATCCACACTTGACACATTTTCTATACATACCAACAGGCAGAATGTATGAAATGTATGAAAACTATGATAATGGAGGTATATATGAACTGATGGATTAGTGATACCAAAATTAGCTATGAATTAAATTTATGTTTTTCAACAAATAATCTTTAAAATGCTGACCAACTGAACTATAAGTGAGGAAAATCAGATCCTACATAGGCCCTGTGCTTCTTCAACTGAAATGAACTCTATACTTAAACTACAACTGGGTGTAGGATAGGGCAGGGATAAAAGAAATCAGAGAAGAGGAAAAAGTGAGCAAGAATTGGTCTCTATGTATGCATGTGTGTTTCTTTCTTTGAAGTAGTGATCCTGTTTTTCCCAAGAACACATTTTCAGTCTTTTCTCCTTATGCCCACCAGATACACAATCTGAAAAAACAAGTATCTAAATGAATGCCAAGGTATTGTATCCACTGCCTTTCTCCATTTGATTCCCCACCAAAATCAATGGACATTGCATGGAAGTAAACGGCTTAATATTCCTTTAGAATTCCTTTAGAACATTCCTATGCCACTGCTACTTTTCCAACTAGTTCCTAGAACTCTAACCTAATCCCTTATCTTCTAAACTCCACAGATACACAACATAATCCATCTTCTAAATTCCAAATGAAGATTGCTCATTCCTTACCCTGGGATCACATTAAACTGAACACTGTGTTACTTTTATTTGTATATTTAAAATTTTCCCATAACTGAAAAGTAAGCCAGACACTTTTATGTTAAATCTCTGTTACATGATGAAAACGTCTCTATTACTCTCCTAGTTGAAGGTAAAGAATGAATTCTCATTATTATATCCTATTGCTTTCTTGGTATGCTGTTGCATATCACCCACTCTTTAAACAAGAAAAGGGAATATTGTCACCCTCATCTTCCTGGAAGAAGGGGGAGGGTATTAGAAATCAAGTTGAAAATAATTTTAAAAGTCAAAGTAACTTTCTATTACAGAGAGCTTTTTAAGTTTGAGTAAACATAGACTTGCGTGTAAAGATGGGCATAATAAAGGACAGAAACGGTATGGATCTAACAGAAGCATAAGATATTAAGAAGAGGTGACAAGCATACACAGAAGAACTGTACAAAAAAGTTCTTCACAACCCAGATAACCACAACGGTGCGATCACTCACCTAGAGCCAGACATCCTGAATACAAAGTCAAGTGGGCCTTAGGAAGCATCACTATGAACAAAGCTAATGGAGGTGATGGAATTCCAGTTGAGCTATTTCAAATCCTACAAGATGCTGCTGTGAAAGTGCTGCACTCAATATGCCAGCAAATTTGGAAAACTCAGCAGTGGCCTCAGGACCAGAAAAGGTGTTTTCATTACAATCCCAAAGAAAGGCAGTGCCAGAAAATGTTCCAACTACCGCACAATTACACTCATCTCACATGCCAGCAAAGTAATGCTCAAAATTCTCCAAGCTAGGCTTCAACACAATACGTGAACTGAGAATTTCTAGATGTTCAAGCTGGATTCAGAAAAGGCAGAGGAACCAGAGATCAAATTGCCAACAACCACTGGATCATAGAAAAAGCAAGAGAATTCAGAAAAACATCTACTTCTGCTACTATGCTAAGCCTTTTGTGTGGATCACAACACACTGTAGAAAATTCTTCAAGAGATGGGAGGGAATACCAGACCGCCTGACCTGCCTCCTGAGAAACCTGTATGCAGGTCAAGAAGCAAAAGTTAGAACCAGACATGGAACAATGGACTGGTTCCAAATTGGAAAAGGAGTATGTCAAGGCTGTATATTGTCACCCTGTTTATTTAACTTCTATGCAGAGTACATAATGTGAAATGCCAGGCTGGATTCCACAAGCTGGAATCAAGATTGCCGGGAGAATTATCAATAATTCAGATATGCAGATGACATCACACTTATGGCAGAAAGCAAAGAGGAACTAAAGAGCCTCTTGATGAAAGTGAAAGGAGTGAAAAAAAGCTGGCTTAAAACTCAACATTCAGAAAACTAAGATCATGGTATCTGGTCCCATCACTTCCTGGGAAATAGAGAAGGAAACAATGTAAACAGTGACAGACTATTTTTCCCAGCTCCAAAATCACTGCAGATGGTGACTGCAGCCATGAAATTAAAAGACACTTGCTCCTTGGAAGAAAAGCTATGACCAACCTAGACAGCATATTAAAAAGCAGAGACATTACTCAGCCAACAAAGATCCATTTGGTCAAAGCTATGGTTTTTCCAGTTGTTTTGTATGGATGTAAGAGTGGACCATAAAGAAGGCTGAGTATTGAAGAAGTGATGCTTTTAAACTATGGTGTTGGAGAAGGCTCTTGAGAGTCCTTTGGACTGCAAGGAGATAAAACCAGTCAATCCTAAAGGAAATCAGTCCTGAATATTCATTGGAAGGACTGATGCTGAAGCTCCAATACTTTGGCCACCTAATGCAAAGAGCTGACTCATTAGAAAAGACTGATGCTGGGAAAGACTGAAATCAGGAGAAGAGGATGACAGAGGACAAGATGGTTGGATGGCATCTCCGACTCAATGAGTTTGAGTAAGCTCCAGGAGATGGTGAAGGACAGAGAAGCCTGGCATACTGCAGTCCATGGGGTCACAAAGAGTCCGACACGACTAACCAACTAAAGAACGACAAAATACAGACTTACACATAGAAACTTTTTTCAAAACTGAAAGACTGAAGCCAACAGTGAAAATTTCCAAGGCTGTAAACATGAGCTTTCTAAAATCATTTTTAACTAAAACCGGACAGTTGTAAAAAAAAAAAAAGAAAAGAAAATTTGGTTTTACGTGTGTCTAATCGTAACACCTTAAATAGGCATTGGGTCTAATCAGCTACTATGAAAGAACTGTTTAGCCAATTCATTCTACCTATGAGCAATACCTGGTAAAAACAGGAATATATAATATTATATTTCTGCTTTCAAGTTACATAAATAACGCCAACGGTTCTACACATTACTCCAGAACTTACAATATGATCACTGCGAGAACACTTCCAAGATTTCTTAGATGTGTCAATGGGTGGAAGACGGCATGGCTCATCAAGGGCAGACACCCACTCAAGATACCTTGATCACCACTTTCCCTGGGCTGGCATAAATGTTCTACGTTCTCTCGGCTGTGACTGTTCCTTCCCACCTTGACAGTTGCCATATCCTCACCCTGTATAGGAACTCTGTTCTGCTTCCTATCAGAACGCAGGAGCCAGTTCTGTTTCTTCCAGACCCAGGGCTTCAACAAAGGCCTACTTATTTTTAGGTGTTTGCTGTGAAAAGACCGGGTCTCGAGAAGATACATGGCGATAGAGGTTTGGAGCCCACGAGGGTTCCAGGAAGACTCAAAAAAGCCAGCCTAACGCGGAGGTCCCCGTGACCGCCAGTGGACACAGAAGGGCCTCAGCATCCGTGGGCCCCGTCCAGGAGAGGTGCTGGCGGGAAGGGGGCAGATGCCCGGGCCGCGGCCGACTTCTCGGCAAGCACGGCCGACAGCGGCTCCCGGGCGCTTCCCTGCCACCGCCAAGGAAATGCCCGCGGGCGTGGCCGTTGCCCCCTCGACGGCCGAGCGCCCTGCAGCTGGAGGGCAGACGAGGAGGGGCGGGACTCACCCTGTGGCTCCGGCCGGGGCCCCGAGGGCGGCGGCGGCTCCTGGTGCTGCAGCGGGGAGGTGGAGGCCGAGGCCGAGGCCGATGTGATGAGGAGCCTCTGGAAGCGGTTGGGCGGGCGGCAGGGCACCTCCAGGCCGGCCGCCAGCTTGGCCTTGTTGGCGCTGGTGAGCCTCTTGAGGTGCACGAGCAGCTGCGGCTGGTCGCGGCGGAAGTGCGGGCTGTGGAAGTGGTGGAGCGGCCCGAGGGCCACGTGCACCGCGGAGAAGGCGTGCTCGCTCGGCGGCCTCCTGAGGGAGCCGGAGGCGGTGGGGCCCAGGGCCCGCGGGCTGGTGTCCCGTCCTGCAGAGAGATCTGCCTGGGTATCCGCGATGGAATGCAGAGACCCGTGTACTTAACTGCGACCGTCGGCGGGCTGTGGGTCTTTAGAATTCAGGAAGTGCCAAGTGGGTGATAACAAATCCGGCCATTCTCAAGAACAAATTCTATGCTCTTATTTGTCCTAACAGTTGACATTACTTGTCTCTCCAAATAAAAATGCCGATGATGGTATATAGTACCCTGAGCGCACAAATTCATCTTTTAAAGAGTAGCATTTTATCTGTTCTGAAATATACTCTTTTCATGCTTTGCTCAAGACCATTTACCCAAGGTGGAAAGAAAACAGGGGCCTATGAGGAGGGAACCGGGCAAAGATAAGTATAATTCTGTGTGCCTAATCAACCAGCTGGTGAACTTTTAGACAAAGAGAAATAAAGCTCACATCAGATGGGACCAAATTCTATGGGATCCATAAGGATAGCGGCCTGTCTGATCAATAAATGACAATACAGCAGGAGCTGTGCTGATTAAAAAAGAGAGGGCCATTTAAAACATGGAAATAGCTGGGAGATAGGGGAGTAATGTTTCAGTCCTTTCTCAGGGTCAAAAGAAAAAATGAGTGTTAAGGTTCCTTAGAAGTTAAAAATGAAGAAGAAGACCCAACAAAGCAGCACTAATATAGAGATTTTATTTAAATTGTATTGAGTTTTTACAGCACATTGCATGTTTGTCACAACGCAACTGCACAGTTTGGATTTTTGGCCACATCATGTCACTTACACCCACAAGAGCTCTGAAAGGAGTATTTGATGAATACATCTGAGCTAAGAGCCCAGAGTCTCTCTCCAAGGCCATGCAGTATGTTCATTGATGGGACAGTCCCTCAAAACAGCCATTCAAAGTAGACAGATACAGTCTCCTCAAATGTCACCAATCGAAGTGCAATGAAAGTCGAGTTAATTAAAAAGCCACTCACAACTGGCAGTAAATTGTAATGACTGAGAAAATGCTTATTTTACGTATCCGAGACAAGGAATAGTTTGTTACTTTTTCAATGAATTCAGGAATTTCCCAGACACAAAATCTCCATTATTCAACTCCATTTAAAGGAAGAAAGTTCTGCTAGACTGACCTAGATACACCAAAACTTTTTAGGTTACATCCATGGCAAGTATAAAAAGCACATATGCTTCTCTGTAGGGCTGAAGAAAAGGTCAGGACAAATAACAGTTCTTGTTCTAAATGCAGATCATAGGTATTTTCGAAGGAAAAAATTTTTTTCCAGGAAGCAGCATGAACAAGTAGCAGTTAGACAGCTACCATAGTTTTAAAACAGGCTGAGCCTCAGTGTAATTTACCTTTTCTACACCAGTGAATCAAGGAAAACATATAAGGAAATCCTAGTGGTTTCATTATAAGTCAAGGAGACTGTATCTGTCCTAACCACTGTACATGGCTAATATCACTGTATCTTTTGGTTAAGTGCCACTGGTACATATTAAGATGAAAACAAACAAACAAAAACAATGTTTGGTCCAAATGGACACGTTTTCTCTCCCAATTTTGGTATCAAGGCTTTATTCTCTTCTTCTGTTTGGGTTCCATTGTTAAGTGCACAGAAATAGACAGCAGCATTTGTACCGAAACCCTCACATACCAAACAGCGTATTCTAGGAGGTAAAAACCAAATGCTAAATTCTACCCTCAAGGTGTCAAGTGTTCAGGATAAGAAGCAGTGTGACCCAGAGGAGGCAGCAGCCAAGGGAAAGACAACATGTGGGTGGAACAAAGACCAAAAAAAAAAAAACCATTGTTTTATTTTCATGCCAGGAGAGGATCAAGGTGTAGCTCCTGTGTTAGCACCAGGACAACTAGGAAAAGTCAGGCGCAAAGGGTAGGGCACAATCAGCAAATATTTCACAAAGATAATTTCTGCTTTTCCCTTCTCCTTCACAGTGCTTACCTCCAGAGCTGCCACTCTGAGTAACAAAGACTACTGCCTTCACAGCTCCAAATAACTGATTCCTGCCAGGACTGAACATCAGCAGAGTTTTCCTCTGCTCCTGAAAAGGTCTCACTCCCTAAAACTGTCCCCCTAAACTGAATATTCACTGATGCTGGCTGATGAGCCAAGTGAAAAATACAGCAAAACCTCCACTAGCTGGACCAGTCTTTAAAACCAAACTCCACAGAAAGACAGAACTAATGCAACTAGAGGGAGTGCCTCTAAAGACTGAGCCTTCATGCACAGACACAGAGCACAGAAGAGGTATGGGTATAGTTCATTTCAAACAGGATAGGAATTCCTGTCTTATATCTATAATCTGCTTTTTTCAAGGTGGAGGAGAGATGGATCTGGTTATCACTTGGAGTTTGGTTATACAATATGCCTTTCTATTGCTGTTTAGGGCACACATCACCAGGCAGTATCTATGATATCATCATCTTGTGACCCCAGGAGAAAGAAACTGGAGTCACCAACTCAACGTTAAGCTTCCAGACTCTGGGTCTGGATGAGGACCACTACCCCAAGATGAGTGTCTCACCAGGAGAGGACTCCCGCCAAAGTGGAATTCCTCTGCTCCAGTCTCATGGTCCCAAGGAGGATTTCTCAAGACTGTATCTTTGAGCTCTGTGATTTCATGAGCCACACCAAGGAACCTTCAAAAAACTACACCTGAAGCACATCCTCCCTTCAAACCTGCTAAAATTGGACAGGTCTTCTTCTCTGGCATTCAACTGGAAGCTGTAGCAATGGGCTTCTTCAGATGTTGGCTCATGAGTTCCCTGGCCCGAGATACTTGGATATGTTCGTAACATGAGTTACAGACGAGAACTGGGTCATAGAGTTGTTGATCAGGAATGGGCAACTTCAGGTGGCAGCAGCCAGCACAAAATACATTTCCACAATTTCTGCCAAAGCACAGAGAAGGAAGAATTCATCAGAGATGCCGACATACTGAGAATGAATGATACTTTAAAAGGCCTTAAGTGAGTAAATAAAGAGGAAAGTTGGGAAAAAGCAAAACTAGTTCCTATAAAGGTATCTCCGTTTTCAGATTAACTCAATTTAGTTCGTATCTACGTCCCTCTCTATGGCTTTACGAGCCCTACTGAATCACATAAAACATCTTACCTGCAATGGTGTCTGCGTTTGGCCAACCAGAATTCACAGTCACAATTATAGCAATGTGATGCCATGTGGTCTGGAACCCAGCGAGTCACCTAACAGAGGGCAAAAGGAAAAATTCCAGCAACACTGCAGCAAGGAAAGCATCCTGGAAGAAAAGGACAAGGTCTAGGTGGCTACTACTTGCCTACAGAGAGTCAACTAGGGGAGAACACATCACTCGTCTCTGAAAATTATGAGAACTCCCTACGTTGCAGAAGGACCCGCCACGTATTTGCCTGGACATACCTCAGTCTCTTTCTTATCAACAGGTTCCCAGCTGGCTTCTGAAAGGCAGTCATCACTGTGATCAGAGCCAAAATCTTCTGTATCACTGCCATCTGACTCCTTCAAACACGTCTAAAGAAAAAGCCAAGGCATTACCACCATCACCTTCATCATCTCTAACACTGATTGTTCACTATGTGCCAGGCACTGTTTCTAAGTACATCACATGCAGGAACTTATTTAATTCCTGACAATCTTAGAAATGTACCCTATTATTATCCCCACTTTTACAAATAAGGAAATAAAGCCACAGAGAGAGTTAAGAGCTGATAGGCAGTAAATGTGGGATTTGGACCTAGCATTCTGGCTTCAGACCCATGCTCTTAACCAACATGCTGCATCACGGTATGGAAAGAATACTTCTGTTACATTCTAAACCAGGAATTCGCAAGCTCTGGCCCACAGGCCAAACTGGCCCACTGCCTGCTTCTGTAAGTCAGGTTTCACTGGAAGACAGCCACACTCAATTCATTAACACATGGTCATTATGGCTGCTTCTGTGCTATGACAGAAGAGCCTAGTAGCTGTAAAGAGACAATACGTCTCTCAGGGCCTAAATTATTTACTATCTGGCCCTTTACCAAACAAATCTGCTGACTCCTATTCTAAACCATCACTCTAAACAGTAAGAAAGAAGCTGTTAGCCCTGACCATCCCACCAGCAGAGAAGTGCACAGCAGGCAGTTGGGAATGTTCGAGAGCTTCTTCCAAGAAGCTCCCTGAAGACTACTGTGCCTCGTCGTCTCTCACCTACCTGGCTTATTCCAAAAGGCCCTAACCAGCCTCCCTGGTTTTCAGCTGCTTCATCCACTTGACACACTGGTGCTGGGGTAGTACTCTTTTCAGTACAATTTTTTTTTTGGAGGGGGGCAAGCCATGCCCTTAGTTTCCTGACCAGGGATGGAATCCAGTCCCCTGCATTGGGAACTCAGAATCTTAACCACTGGACCGCCAGGGCAGTCCCTCTGGGGCAGTACTCTGATCATACGATTCACTAGCCAAAACTTTTACTGCCCTGAATCCACACAAAACGAGCTCTCAAGCTGAGCTTTCTAATCCCTTTCCACTTCCCAGTATCACCTCCCACCACACTACCAACTCCCTCCCTCACAGTCCCAGCACAAGTGTGCATGCATGCAGGCACATGTGCAAACACACACACCCCTTTATTCAAGCCACACCCCTGGAGTACCTCCACGCTTCTGCACAGGGGGTTCCCTTTTCACTGTCTGTATGGCTAAAAGTGACCCATTCTTCAGCCCTCAGCTCAAGCATTATCTTCTTAGGAGAGCCTTCCCTGTCCTTTGACTCCCCTTGGGCCCCCGACACCTGACGCTTCCGACCATCTTTGTCACTTAAGAACAGCGTTCTAATGGTGGGCTTGACTCTCCCAATAGACTGTGAGCTCACTGAGAGCAGAGCAAGGTCTCTCATCCTACAGCCCAACCCCCTAACTCAGGGGCACACAGCAAGTACCCAGTGAACGGCTGTGCGGCGGCTGAAAGGCTGGATGGGCGGACAGAATGAGAGGCTGGTGGCAGGCCGTGAGTACTTACAAAATCGTCCTCATAGTCCATGGGGGGCTCCGCTGGAGGGGCGCAGCAGTGGCGGATATCCAGCCTCATCTGAAGCTCACGCACCTGTCGACGGAGCTGCTCCACCTCCTGCTTGTACCCTGCTTCAATCTGCCGTAACCTGTGCTGGATCACATCCGTGGGGAAGGGGAGTCCATCGTCGTCCAGGTAGAGAGGAGGCACTGGAGAAGGGCAGCTCAGGGGGACAGGCTTCGTGCTGGGGACCTGCTTTGGGTGACCAGACAGCCACATCCGGTGGTTTTTTCCACCTGGACCAGTACAGTGTCCATTGGAATGACTAGAACAGACTGGCGACTTCACCCCTTCTCTCTGAGCCCACTGGCCCCCAAAGCAGGGCCCCGGTGCCCGCATCTGCTTACTGCTCGCCCTCTTGCTACAGCAGCCGTAAGAAAGCAGCCGTCGAGGGGTGGTCTCCCCACTGGGGAGTGAAGTCACCATCCCATGGAAGCTGTCCCAGTTGGACCCTAAGAAAGAGAACTCGCTGATCTGGCTCTGAGAAATCGGCTTTCGGGCCAATTCCAATGGCACTTTCCCAAAGCGGGGGTTCTCCAGTAACTGCCCATTCCTATGATTCCCTCTCTTGCCGCTGTCTTCCTCCCTGGGAACCGTATCTAGCACAGAACTAGGCGGTTCCTGGTGGGCGACACTTGCTGCAGACCCTCGGGGGTCCTGGCTGAGAACGTCGGCGCTGGGGCCTGGAGGAGTTTGGCAGGTAGCACTCGGTGGGTTGCAGAGGGTGCCCAGACCATGATCTGGGGCACATCTGGAGGGCATGCCCAGCACACAGTCCAGCGGGGCCTGCTGGGGGGCACCTGGGAGGGGGTTCTGGGAGGACTCAGGAAAGTCACCAGTTCCTTCACACTTGTCCGAGACAACTTTAGAGAGTGCGTGGATAGCTGCTTTTTCAGGACAGTGTTCAGGTGGCTCCTCTGTGCCATCCCAAGTCCTAGCCAGCTCATCCTGGGCAGGAGGGCCTGGAACTGGGGCCTGAGTCTCTGCGAGGGCTTTGATCTCAGGATCAGAAGTGCTGCTCTTCGTTTCCTGGGGCACTGCGGCACCAAGCGGTTTGTAACCTGGAGAACCGTTTCTATGACTCTTGAAAGGTTTATTGCTCAAGTAGTCTTTCTGGCTGCTGGGCACCGAGGGAGGAACCGCCATCTCCCCTATAGCCTGCTGGGGACCTCCAGCCCCAGACTCCACGAAGGTGGTCTGCGATGCCTCGGGATTGCCATGCCAGGGCTCCAGGCCTGCTCTGACTTCCTGACAGTGGTTATTCAGGTTGGGGTCACTGGATGTGCGTGTCAAGGGGCTGCTTGTGTCACAGGCAGAAAGAAGATCATCCATAGATCTCGTTTTAGGTAATCTGCAAAGACAACACACCACCTCCAGGTCAGGAACTGAGAGCTACCTCCAACAGACAGAATTGGGTCATCAAAGCTATCAAAGCCAGAGTTCACAAGAAATAACATTTAAGATTACAAATAATCAATGTTCAGGTTTCCCTGGCGGTCCGGTGGTTAAGAATCTGCCTGTCAAGACAGGTCACAGGTTCGATCCCTGATCCAGGCAGAGTCCACATGCCGCAGGCAACTAAAGCCCGTGTACCACAACTACTGAGCCCGTTTGCCTAGAGCCTATGCTCTGCAACAAGAGAAGCCACTGCAGTGAGAAGACCCTCCACAGCCAAAAAAGTTAAATACATAAATAAATCTTTAAAAAAATACAAAAATAAATAAATTAATTAAATTAAAAAATTAAAAAAATACAAATAGCCAATGCTCACTGCAAAAGTCTGCTCTGGGGCTTCCCTGGCAGTGGTTAAGATGCTACGCTTCCACTGCCGGAGGTGCAGGTTCGATCCTTGGTCAGGGAACTGAGATTCTGCATGCCACACAGCATGGCCAAAAAAGTAGAGTCTGCTCTGCAAAAGTGGAGGACTTGAATCCTATCCTCAGGAGCCTAACCCAGGCTCTGTCCTCAGTTTTCATCAGTCTTTCCTCACAGTCTCCCTTGAATCCTCAACTACTTCCATGACCTCAGCTGCCTTCTAAGCTGATGCCTTCCAATCTACCCTTCCAGCCAGGAATACAACTCGGCCTCAAACCTTATATGCAACCACCCCTATTACACACAGCAAGACAGAAAGATGGTAGGTCCTGGAGTTGGATGATACCGGTTCTGACACTGATTAGATACATGACTACAAGTGAGCTATTTAACCTCTCAGACACTTGGTTTCTCTCCTCTATAAAATGACGATAAATTACTTTGCCGAGATGCTATGAGGAGTCCAAGTATAGGCAGCCAACCACAAACTTATTAAGGCTTCACTCATGACCTCATTTTTATAACCTTCCGTATTATAAATTATTCCTCCATCACAGCAGAGACCAGCATGGCTTTTTACAACCATTTAGCGGCAGCATACTCCTCTGAGGCCCAAGTCACCATGGAAACTTCCCCAGTATACAGTTCTAGAGACATTCGTGTACACCAAATGGGCAACCAACATTTTCAAGAATGACTGCCCTCAGCCCGGAT